GGAGTAAAAAAAAAACAAAAACAAATCTATCAGCAAGAGAAGGATATTTAACTATTTTTTTCATCTCTGCGTCCCGGGCGACGGATCTTGGCTCAACCGCGGAACTGATCAAATTACCGACCGAAAATGTATAATTGTGATCAGAGTATCCCAAAACCACATGTGATCGTCATTTTAAAATAGAGGGTGAAGAAGATCTTTTTTTTAATTTTACATTTAGATGGTCATCATCAGAGTATTCAACAACAACAAACTCTTGTGACTGTCTCATTGTGGCAATGAGGATTCTATTGGAAAAGTTGGCCTCGAAATGCGAACACTCATTTGATTAGCAAAAGGTGCATTCTAAAAGATAAACAAAATATTAAAAAACAGGAAATTTTTTAAAATTAAAAACAGCAAAAATAGCGCTGAATTGCAATGTAATATCAATTACCTTATAAGGTAGGGAATGCTAGATAATTTCCTCAGACATAAAGAATAAACTTGAAGCAACAGCACTGTGATTCTACTGGAGGATTTTGGTCGGAGAGCTTAAGCAAAGAATAAGTCTAAAAAATAATGGTGACAAAAAGGACATTTACACTCAGAATCAGAATCAGAAAGAGAGCCGAAATTTCTTGGACACATAATGAGGAAGGAAGGCTTGGAGAATTTAACGCTCACAGGACATATCGAAAGCCACCAACTTTACGTGCTTGTGTGAATAGCGAATTTACTAAACGTAGCTTACTTGTACCACAAGGCCGAAAGAATGGGGAACCCAGTGAGGATCGAACTTATTACTCAGTCGTAATTGATCTAGCGAGACAAGCTTGCTGGCCATTTAACAGCTCCGAGTAGCTTAATTGGTGCACCTTATAGGGATTTAATAATCGTGCGCTTAGATGTGGCATGGAGCACCTAGTAAGGCTCGAATTCATTACACAAAACTGTACCAAATAACAGAAACCACGTGACTTGAAGACTTTCATCAACGGCTACAACTACAGCAAGATGTTTACGTTTCGCACTATTACTAACAAAAGGTTTGTGAGGAGGCACCCATTAATACTGCTCGTGAAATGACCATTTCTTTATAAGGAAACATGCTGGAATCAACATGTATTAGTTCTTATCTCTAATATTAATTGTAATATAGGATGCGTCAGAAATACCTCAAACATATACCTGCCGTATAATGGTAAGATATTAGGGGCAGTGGTTTGGGTTATTTTATTTCACGGCATATCAACCTCAATGGGTTATTTAATGCCGACATGATTTTTAGGATAGGTCCGTATGAATAGAATATGTATCCTTTGGTTTAGTTTGGTTTCGTTTATTTTGTTTAACAGCATATCAACCTCAATGGGTTATTTAATGCCGACAAGATTTTTAGGATAGGTCCGTATGAATAGAATATGCGTCTTTTGTAAGAAATCAGTTTATAGATCATGTGTCATCGACCTATGTTTGTAAAGAGGATTTTGTCAAGAGTTAAATGTATTACTGGTAATATTTTTTTTTAAATTGTATTGTCGGTAATATTTTTTATTAAAAAAATGTATTGCTGGTATCTTTACTATAAAAATCTATTTTTATACTTTCATAGTGTTTTGACCCTAATTTGAGAGTTAACTATTTGTCCATAGTTGGGACTCTAACAGATATAACCACGCCGGGTTAGTGTGGACCTAGGAACAACGGCAATTTAGAGGTGGTTCCACGCTCCTCAAAACTTCCGGATCAGAGGCCTTGATGCCGGATGTAGTTTATTGCCATACCCAGGAGGTTAGAAGCAATGGTGTCTTCATCTAACTAATGTCTTGCCATTATGTGGGCAGTATTTTTACCGCGTCCTGCATTCCCTTGCGTATTAGAGTTCAGCATTTATTTACCGAGCAACCAATGCTAATTTCAGTTGAAACTTATAAAATATTTCTCTTAAAATGATTTTTCATTAAAATCGGTTTCTCAATTTCACTAGTGTATCTTGTTCTTGAATATTCTGATGATATATGAATATTCAAGAACAAAAAACGCTTCTGATCGTCTTATTTTGGTAATGGCAAGTTATGATGAGGCCGTCTTTACTGACTTTCATTTAATAAATAATATGTCCAAAGTAATGGAGTTTCCTTAGCGTTATCAGTTCTCTCAATACGTAACTTTGTATAAGGGTATTTGGCACCCACTTATTGGTGCTTCTCGTTCTCCATAGCACTCAAATGACTCTGCGATGCCCCCACATCTCGAAAGTCCATTGCCGAGATTTTGACGCCAAGAATCACGCAGCGGAAAGCGTCATCTGTGTTTTACAAACTTTTTCACCCGTCAAGATGGGCTTTGCTTCTCTTACAATGTCACCGCTGTTCGAGGCAAATGGAATCGTCTGTAACCCCAGAGAGTGGTGCCTCTTCATCGACAGCTCATCCAGGAGCCTCAAGGCCGTGCTGATTCATAACAGTTGACTAGGTACAGCGCATGAAGATCTCGATTGAAGCCTTGAAATATGAAGAGGGCATGTGGGATATTATCTGAGACTTTAAAATCATGGCTTTCCTGACTGATCAAGTTTACGCGTTATATTGGCTTTTGGGACATCATGGACCCGTTGCATACTACCACAGTTAAGACTGCACAGTGGATTGAGTTAAGTGTGGAGAAGAACAATGCTAAATGGGAGCCACTGTTGAACCCCAGGAAAGTATTGTTTCTTCCACTGCACTTAAAATTTGGGATTCTTTAAAAACTTGTCACAGCTCTAGATAACGAGTTTTCAGCCTTCTAATTCCTTCCAGACATCTTCCCTAAGCTGCCCGCGACAAATGTCAAAGCCATTGTCTTTGTCGGACCACAATCCTGGGTATGACGATAAACTACATCTGGCAGCAATACCTCTAATCGGGAGATTGAAGGATTGGAGAGCGTGGAACAATCTCTTAACTATTGTTATTTACAGTGAGCCCCAAAACAAAAATCAACAGTCAGTTTTATAATAAAATGAACAGAAATACAATTGTATAGCTGTTAGGATCCACCTAATTTGCATAGTGGAGTACCGACCATATAAATATGGTTGGTACCGGGAGGAGAGGAAGGGATCAAGTGAGTCAACCAGAGACTCTACCCGACTGCGACTCAGTCAACACATTCTCCAGGAACGGTCTTACCAGGAATATACAAAAGACTATATGTAAATATTGTGTACACTTTCTTGTTTCAATACATTTTGTTCTAAGTACATTTTGTGTTGCATTATTATTCCATGCATTAGTCAAGTTTCAACAATAGCAAAATAGCAATCAATGCAACACTGGAAATATATAAACATACATTTTTATAGTAAACAATTACCAACAATGCATTTTATGATCTTCAAACTATATAATTGAAAAACATACCTTTACACTGAAAGTATAAAATTTTACGCAAAATATCCGTAGTTAAAAGCATAAATTTACTTACAAAATATTTAGATTTCGGTATTAAATAAGCCATAGTGCTTGATATGCCAACTAACCAATCAATGGACCACAAATAAAGACCAGAGAGTGAAAGGAATTCTCCAAGAAGCTCACTATGACGGAGAAAACAGCGTGGAACAGCTTGTCACAGTAGTTCGGGGCTTCCTGGGTGAATCACAAGGCTGAAAACTATGTGGTGCTTGTTGAAAGCCCGGTGAAGGACTACGATAAAATAGGCTGCAGGATCCACAAAGTCAATATCCTTGACGCTATACTCAGAGGAGCAAGGCGAGCGCTTCCACCAGGATATAGTCACTATTAAGGATTGTATAATGAAAACATGAATGGAGACTATATTCGGGTTCTGTAATTTACAGCACTAGCGTAAATCATGGAAATTCCCTTGTGTAGTCCGAGAATAAATAAATGCTATTTTTGTATCATATGTACTTTTCTTCCTACTTTGTGGGTACGATACTGTTCACAATCCCTTGTTTTTTCCAGTGGGAATAGGTAAATTTCAGAAATATCCTTATCCTGGTCACAAAAGCAAAGTTTGAAAGAAATATTAACCATTTTTCATACTTCCAAAGGCGTAAGCAAATAAAATATAACAAGGACAATTATCGTGTTACACAGCATTATTTGTAGCAAAAATGAAGGCATCTTTCTCATCTATTTGGCTAGCAACAACCAAGGAACCGATGATTACTCTGTTAATTTATCCCTGTGTTTCTATCTATAAAAGGCAGGATGTGTATGTGTGTGTGTGTGTGTGTAACGAATGCACGGCCGCACTTTTCGACGGATTTGCACCAAAATTGACATGCACATGCTCAAAGTTAGTGGGAAGGCCAAGACTGACTTTGCATTTCCCAACTCCCATCGATACTGGAAATAATTGATTTTTTCATGCTTCTACGGCAGTCTTCATGTAGTTTGCAGCCATTTTCTACTGGCCAGAGTGAGAGCCAATAGCTGGCTGTCACGAATAGGCAGAAAGATTCTATTGGCCAGCGTGAGAGCCAACAGCTGACTAACACGAATGTTAACTAGCATGCAAAAAATATCGATACAAGTGGGAAAAATTTAAATCTGCATGTCACTTTACTCCAATTGGCTCATTCGCTTGCTTAAACTCAACGTTGATTCTGATTCCGCAGAACAGGATTGGGTGTGAAAAAGTATTTGTTGTTAACATTCTTTTTTCATTCGATTTTTCCAGTTATGAGTCCTTTTTTTAAAGCTGATCGTTTTGTGTTCATTTTGTTTAGTTCTTTTTTTCGTAACAGATTTAATGTTTAGTATAGAGCTTAGAAAAAATTCGCAGTGTGAGATAGGCAAGAAGTAAGGCATGTAGCAACATCAGCACGGCAAAGGGCACTCCTTTAAAGGCAAGGAAGGGCAAAAATATTTTAAGTCAAGTGATAGCGATTGCTGTATGAGTCGTACGATTTTTTACTCAAGCACGGGCAACGCTGGGTCATGCTGCTAGTTAGTAATAAAAATGATGTTGCATTTTGTTCACTCTCCTCTATCTTAATTTATACTGTTAACACCGGTTCCCGTACGATCATCAAAGTTAAGCAACGTTGAGTCTGGTCAGTACTTAGATGGGTTAACGCTAGGGACATCTTTCGAGCTTGCTGAATCTTCTCGTCAGTGATGGCGATTGACTGGTATGCGGTGTAATGGATATGAGATATGAATTGGAAGTCGGAGAGCCGAGTTCCAATTCCAGTCGGATTCTTTATATTAACTTACGCGCAAATAACCTTGGGAAAGATATGAATCGACCTCTTCTCCCCGAGCTATATGTTAATTAGTAGAACTTGTATCGCTAAATCATTTTTAACTCCAAAAATCTCTTACAATCAAATAATATTTTCTGATTTTAAATAACCTTCAAAAGGTTGATAAACCATAAAATCTATCGATCAATTAATTTTATAGTGTTTTTAATACAATGTTTTGAATTGCCAACTCTCCTGCTTCCATCGGGCGAATAAAATTTACTGAATTGCGATATTTATCTGATCCTCAAGTTCTTCCCAAGTTTGCCGATAGGCGGTTGATTAAGTTTGATGTTAGTATAGATAACGTTCTTTTGAAATCGTTTAAGTAATAAAGTGTTATACGAAGGTATTTTTCTAACAATGAACTATGTTCTTCAAGGGTGATATCAAATCCGGAAAACATTAATCCTTACTACTGGCGTCCAGTAAACTCAATGTGGAATCCGTGAGAGAAGCAAGATCAATTCTACAGTCAGCTTACAAGAAGCAACGTCATGTAGTTGATTCGAATATTTCTTTCAGAAGACGTATTCCGGTTTGATCACTCGACACAGTCTCTTTTAATTCCAATCGGGGATTCAACCTTTGAATGAGAACTTGAACACCCGCTTCATACAAACTTGTTCGCGGCTTAATTTTTTTCTTCCAATATCCTCCCTGAAGAGTCGCCGTTCTCTGTAATTTCTTTAATTAAAAGTACCAGGTGAGATCCTGGAAGCTCTTCGACATGAATCAACTACTTTTTTCCATTGAATCTGTTAGTATACTGGGAAACTAGATATTTACAGAATATAAGAGACTGCACTAGATGACATCTTTTTACCTATATTCCAGCCCGTTTCCCAGAACAAGGAGAAAAATTTACTAACGGCTCAGATCTCAGAACAAGGCGAAATTTGGCAAAGTCCCGAACAAGGCAAAATTTGGTAACGGTCTGCTTATTAAAAACAAGGCAAAATTTGGTAACGGCCGGGTTCTCAGACCAAGCGAAATTTAACAACCCGGTTCACAGACATAGCAAAATTTTCTAACAGCCCGGTTCTCAGATCAAATGGAATTTGGTAACAACCAGTTCTCAGACAAAGCTAAATTTGGTAACAGCTCAGTTCTCAGACCAAACGGAATTTGATACCAAGTGGTTTTCAGACTAAGCTGAATTTGGTAACAATTCGATTCTCAGACCAAACGTAATTTGGTACCAATCGGTTCTCAGACAAAGCTGAATTTGGTACCAACCAGTTCTCAGACTAAGCTAAATTTGGTAACAGCTCTGTTCTAAGACCAAACGAAATTTGGTAACAATCGGTTCTTAGAATAAATGAAATTTGGTAACAGAAAGAATCCTTAGATTAATGACATTGACTTTTCTCAGATTTTTCAGACAAAAGTCCTGTGAAAGAGAAAATCCTGACCTATGACTATACCCGTTCGTATTTCTATATCAGCATACTTCTCCTTGGCCATTATAAATGAAAAAAAAAAAAAAAACAAGAAAAGAAAAAAGTAAAATCTAAGAAAGAATCCGTAGATTAATGACATTGACTTTTCTCCGATTTTTCAGACAAAAGTCCTGTCCCGAATATACATCGACCGAAAGGTACTGATAAAACCAACGGGGATAATGATATTAGTCTGAAGAAGCGAGAGATTAATGTCTTGAATCGTTTAAGATATTTAATATTGACTGTGGACGAAAGAAGAAGGTATTCAGTTGTCTGATTTGAATTAATATTCTGCACCTTGCCTTTCGTTTCGGACAGTATAGCATTTCAGTGAAAGATATTCAGGTACTCCAATTACCAAGGTATTGATATTCAGTCAAAACAATTTAATTGATTCAGTAGCTGATAAGAACAAACGACACTGACAAAAACATACAGAAAGAAATCCATTGGCGACATGGACTGAATCTGACCTTATATGACTTGCAAATCGCCATTGTTCTGGTCAATCTGTAGATGAACATGACAAGTTTTCTGAAAACAATGTTACTACTGCCTGTATGGTTTACGGCGCTGAAAACTTAGAAAAGGCATGATTCGAAAGTACCCTGGATAATAAACAGATTTTTAAAAAATTAATAACATTAACTTTCTTCTCATTATTTACATTATTCAAACTATTGTCCTCATCTTTATCGCAATGTTTATCAAAACGTTTCGGCCGTTGTACACTCCGGCCTTCCTCAGGTGGTTGGAATGTTGAACTGAACCCTTTATGTCATATCCCCAAGGACACATGGCACAGTGGATAAAGGCGTTAGTTAGATCCAGTGACAGGACCCAAAGAGTGTGAGTTCAATACTTGGTTAAGGCACTTGAGAATTTTCAGAGAAGAATTAACAGGAGATAACTGATAACTGACATCCATTAAACATGGCACGTGGAATTAGAATCTACCCCAGTGAGCGAAATAAACGGTTCAGTTCGACATTCCAATCTCTTGAAGAAGGCCGGAGCGTACAAAGTGCAGCGGTACATATATACTCACGCACACGCGCACGCGCGCGTACACACACACCAATGAAGAAAAAATGAGTCTAACACCAATAAAAATGTCATAAATTGTTTTTAACTTTAATATATATATATATATATGTGTGTATGTGTGCATGATTTTATATGATAATATACATAGATATTATATTTGTTTTATATATATATACATTATAATATATATAATAATTTAATATATATATTGCAACTTTAATATATATGATAATATATATAATAATATATGTATATGTATATATACATATATACATACACACACACACACACACACACACACACACACACACACACACACATATATATATATATATATATATATATATATATATATATATATATATATATTATTAATATATTATATATGCGCTTACATACATGCCAAAAAAACTATTTCTTATTTAACAGTAAAAATATTTCATACTTGAAAATGGCTAAATGTATAGCCGAAAGCGCTCGGAAAAAGAACATTCGGACAGTTTTTACATAATTTATCATCTGAAAAGAAAAAAAAAATTAGATCAGAACTAAAGCAAAGCACCTTGTCTGTCGTGTTCAATGAAATGTACATATATATATATATATATATATATATATATATATATATATATATATATATATATATATATATATCACTTGATAAGACACCGGGAGTGTTGAAACAAAATGGCTATTTTTGTAGTGATTTTATAACATGTTTATGTTATAAATTTTTTAAATAAATAATTATATATATATCCAATTCATCAGGACTACAAATCCCCCCCCCAAAAAAATGGATCGTGATTACGATTCCAATGTAATAAATTATAACCATGGAATAGTAGTGTTTGAGCCTTTTATATTATATTCTTGCTCTTTCCTGGACATTGAACTCTACCTGGATTCTATCCTCTTGGAAATTCATATATATATATATATATATATATATACATATAATAAAAAGGCTTAAACACTAATATTCCATGGTCATAATTTATTCCATTGGAATCGTAAATACGTAATATTTACCACTAATATTATCAATATATATATATATATATATATATATATATATATATATATATATATTGACCACTAATATTATCAATATATATATGTGTGTGTGTGTGTGTGTGTGTGTGTGTGTGTGTGTGTGTGTGTGTGTGTGTGTGTGTGTGTGTGTGTGTGTGTGTGTGTGTGTGTGTGTGTGTGTGTGTGTAACGTATGTGTTGGAAAAGGTTACAAATATAACACTACCAACACAAAGTCTGCCAAATGAAAAATCTGAAGACCACTAAAGAAAAAAAAAAAAAGGAAGAAAAGAGTAACCAGAAAAAAAACGACAGAAGAACTGAAAGGAAACATGAGAAGCAAAAAAAAAAAAAACAACAAAAAAAAACAAAAAAAAAACCAAAAAAAAACCCCAGACAGTTACCGAAATAAAGCCAGACAGCTAACTAAGCAATAAACGAAATTTGTCAATGCCTACAGTAAATATTCCAAGGCAAAGGTTTCTAGACGATTGCGTTGAGAGCAACTCGTAGTAACGATTTGTCATTGTTTTATTTTGGGCTGTTTCGTTCTTTAATATATATACGTATATATATGGCCTAGTGGTTAGAACGTTCACTTTCTGACCATGAGACCCGGGTTCGATTTGACAGGAAGTTGACTTCTTGGTGTTATTGGTCTGGAATCACTTATGGTTACCGGCAACATTGGAAAATGCCAGAACACCGTAGCACGGGTTGACCCAAACCTTGTAAGAGAAAACTATCTGGCGCCAATTAAGCTAGCTCCTGCGAGGGTTCTTGATTGGACCTTCGGCTCGTTTGAGAGTCCTAAATTTTTGCATATTCTCAGGATCGGAAGCTGCCGTTCGATCTGGGTTTCGCAATCCTGAAATTTTGGTTTCCCAAGTTTTTTCAAGGGATTTTTTTGTGACGAATTATTTACAATACCGATTTTTGTAAATAAATTTGGGAATAATTGAAATTAATTACAAAATCCAGCGAAAGTCACTCATGAAATAAAAATAATTGTTTGTACGGAAAGTAAGCACCTTTGTACATCAAACTGTCTTTAAATTAAGTGTCGTCAGAAGAATTATCGTTGAACTTTTAAAAGGTAAGCTTAAATATTAATTCAATACTTAAATGCAGCGATCAGTTTTGAGTTCTTCTCTAGTTTATTGTTGTTGCCTATCGCATACGGCAGCAGTATGCCTCGCAAATAAGAGGACTAGATTGCAATCAAAAGAACCAAGGCTGCAACGATGAAAGGAAAGTACCGTGCAAATAGAACCCAGATCAAACGGCAGCCAGGAAAGCTTCCAACCCTGAGAA